AGTTTACGTCACACACTTTTGACGAATATTGCATGTCAGTTGGGCGAAACTCCTAGCTCAAATAATTTAGCTTAGAGTTCACCACCCTGATTGTCCGATTAAGTCGATTCGACTGGATAATGCTGGAGAGTTTACGTCACAGACTTTTGACGAATATTGCATGTTAGTTGGAATTGAAGTTAAACATCCAGTACCCCATGTTCATACCCAAAACGGCCTGGTATAAGCTTTTAAAAAGTGCCTTCAATCGATAGCTCAAACCTTGGTTATACGGACCAAATTGTCGATATATATATCTAGTCTAGGGCTATGCAATATTGCATGTAGCCATATTGGTTTGCTTGAGGCCTACCGCTACCCAACCTCATTCACCATTACAGTTGTTTGCTGGGTACGAGCTTGATGTCTCACACTTACGTGTGTTTGGATGCGTAGTCTATGTGCCAATAATGCCGCCACTACGTACCAAAATGGGTCTTCAGAGAAGAATGAGAATCTATGTCGGTTATGATTTGCCATTAATTATTCGCTAATTAGAGCCCTTGATAGAAGATCTCTTTACCACACGTTTTGCAGATTATCACTTCAATGAGACGTCGTTAGGGGGAGATACGAACACTAACATTCCTAAAGAACGCCACAAATTGTCGTGGATTACTCACATTATGTCTCATTTAGATCCTTGCACTGCCTAGTCTGAAACTGAAGTGCATCGTATTTTAGATCTATAGAGCATTGCTCAAAGCATGCCAGATGCTTTTACTGATCTAGCAAAGGTGACGAGATTACATATACCAGATACAAACGCACCTGCAAGGATCGACATACCTATCATACGCCTAAACATCGCCCAGAAGGATGAGTCGTCCCCAAATGAGGGTTGGCAGCACCTCCCATGCGGCCTGGTACACTAGCAGCTAGCCAATCATCTTTTCCTACCCTGAAGCGTGGTAGATCCCTTGGTTCAAAAATTCACAACTCCGAAAGAGGAAAACGACACAAACTAGTGACCCTAGTATGAATCCAACCATCACTTACTCAACCGTTCCAACACATGAGGTTATTCTAGAATTGATCTACTTCATCCTTTAAAGACCTGATGTGCTGTTTTGTTTGAGTATTTACACACTCAAGGGGGAGTAATCCTAAACCCTAAACCCTAAACCCTACAACACTTATAACTTTATATGTTTATTCCCTAAAAAGTAAGCGGCCAACAAGAAAAAATAAGTATTCATTTGTTTTTAGTTTTGTGTAGTTATATTTTTTTTCTTCTTAAAATGTTATATTATTCTTGTTTTCTCTTTTAGGACTCTTAAGTATTCCATCAAAATATTACATAATATATATAATTATATATAAGTTATGCTAAAAATCTTAAGTCTCATGAGGCTTCGCTTCACACCTCAAGGCGGAGCTATTCATAGAATGCCTCGTCTATGCCTTTGCCTTTTAATACATTGACTGAAGCAGAAGTTTGGGTACTATAATGAATAAGGGACACAATCCTCACAAATGCATAAATATAAACGATGCAGTTATACCCACTACAGGGTCAATAAAACATGCAAGGAAACAAAAAATTGAGGAAGTTTTTCTAATAACTTGCAGGGAAATCCAGTCACACAATTGTTACTTAGCCAATAGCAAAATTCATGAGACTTTAAAATGTAGTACCCGGATTCGAGCAGTGGCGTCTTGACCAGATTGTAGGAGTAAGGCGATGTCACGCCTCATCTGCTTCACCACCACCTGCCTCTTGTTCCTCAGCAGCTTTATTCTAGCCACCGCCATCTTCGCTTGCATTTTGCTGTTTCAACATTCATTCCATTGATCCCCATTAGCAAAATAATGAGCAAAAACAATCATTCAACCAAAAAAAATTACTCCCACCCTATTAAATTGTCAAAAAATGCAAAACATGGAACAAAAATTTCAACTTTTCACAATCAGGGTCTCAATAACTCCAACTACCCACATATTCTAGGCAACCAAACAGGGGGAATAACTCCCCGCCTATTACATTGCCGAGAAAGAGCAAACATGGTAACAAAGATTCTAACTTTAACAACTTTTCACTATTTGGGTCTCAAATCTCATTTACTCCTACAATCCAAATTCTCTAGGCATCCAAACAGAGGGACTAATTCCCTCCCTGTTAAATTCCACCGATAATGCAAACATTGAATAAAGATTTCAACTTTAACAACTTTTCACTATCAGAGTCTCAATTCTTCCTACTACCCAAATTTTCTAGGCAACCAAACAGAAGGACTAACTCCCACCCTGCTAAATTGTCGGTATAATGCAAACATTGAACAAATATCTCAACTCTTAACAACTTTTCATTTTCTGGGTCTCTATAATTCCCTCTTCCCACGTATTCCAGGCAACCAAACAAAGGGACTAAGGCTAACTCCCACCCTCTTAAATTGCCCAGATAATGCAAACATTGAACACAATTTTCAACCTTTCACAATCTGAGGTCTTAATAACTCCTATTATCCAAAATTTTCCGGGCAACCAAACAGAGTAAAGAGCTAAAGTAGAGAAACCCAGAAAGGGGAAAGGCGGAGAGAGAGAATAATGTACCATTTGGAGGAGTTGAATCCCCATCGGAAGAGAGAGCGGCCGAGCTTCACCAGCTTCTTGGTGTGGGTGGTGGCTGCGGTGGCGACCGTCATGGTCACAGAGAGAGAGATGGTCTTTTTTTTTCTGGGTTTTTATTGGGGAGTGTAACGGTCGCCTGAATTGGAATGGGAAACAAAGGTATGCAATTATGCTTCGGATCCCCTGCGGGGCCCACTTGATAACCGACCTTTGCGTTACAATTGGGCCTGTAAAAGGAAAATATAGCCGTTGTGAGTTGACACGCGTGATTGAAGGGTGGATCGTATCCAATGATAGAAGTCGGTGTAAAATCCAGACTATTCTCTCTTTTTTTACGGACAATAAAATATTTGCATTAATTTTGAGCAAAGATCAACATTCTTAATCAATTGAGTTACATGTCGTTGGAAAATTATTTTGTACCCTTAACTTTTCACAATTATTTTCCAGTAAAACTTCAGATTTTTATTGTTAGGAGTGATTTGTTTTGTTACACGTCGGAACTGCAAAAATAAATTTGATGTAACTCTATGTAACACCGTATAAAGATTGAATGTTGCTTATTTTGTTCGTTTTGGATACATATATCCTTGATCAAATCAGAAATATGTAAATTAGATAATTGTATAAATTTGGTTTCAAGATACATTAAAACTAGGGTTATTAGCCAAAATGCCCCTTAAAACTGTCATTGAGTCTCAGTTTACATATTGAAACTGGTTTTGTCTCATTTTGCCATCTGAAACTGACATTTTCAACTATTTTGTCTCACTTTACCCACTTTTGTTAATAGACTGTTAAATTTAATAGTATTTTAGACATTTTAGTTTATACACATTTATTTACTTCTAGCCTACACACTAAACAAGTCTCAATTTTATTTTCGACAACTCTAATTCAAACGCATAAATTTTGGACATTTTTGAAAATAAATTATTCAATCAATAGAAAATTTCCGAGCAACAAAATCTTTGTATCAACCAAAATAAGGGTTACATTTGTTCTTATAGTCATTTCACTTGCAAGACTTCCATGTATTGGCTCGAAACTTTGCAATTGAATAATATTCAACACAACAAAATCATTATACCATTAAGCTATCCTACCCAAAATACTTCCCAAACCGAAAAGATCATTTAAAGCAAATGTGCACAGTTTGAAAAAGCTCATGCCTAGTGGAATCGGTGCTCAACAATGTGAAATTTTTTGTTTCAAACTGTGCACATTTGCTTTAAATGATTTTTTGGCTAATACAATAACTTTGTTGTTCGAAAATTTTCTATTGATTGAATAATTTATTTTAAAAAATGCCCAAAATTTATGTGTTTGAATTAGAGTTGTCAAAAATAAAATTGAGACTTGTTTAGTGTGTAGGATAGAGGTAAATAAATGTGTAAAAACATATCTAAAATACCCTTAAATTTAACAGTTCATTAACATGAGTGGGTAAAGTGAGAGAAAAAAGTTGAAAATATCAATTTCGGATGGCAAAGTGAGACAAAACCAGTTTTAGGAGATAAACTGATACTCAATGACAATTTCAGGGGGTATTTCGACTAATACGCCTTAAAACTAATCAGAATCATGCATAGTAAATTGTTAACTCCGGATCATGCTAGATTTTCATATTAAAATCATCATTCATTTCTAATTTAATTTTGTCACATTGAATTGTAATCAGGTAAAATCTACCCATCAAGAAACATAAGCATGTGTTTAGAATTTCATATATAGAACACCTCTAAGAATTTTCTAGCACTAGTTTTAAGACTAATAACTAATATAAGATTTATCTGAATGGGAGCAATAAATTCAGCCTAAATATATATGGAATGGGGCCTCCATTTCGAATTAATTACAATGTTGCCATTGATTTCTTTTCTTTTTGGGTTTGTTGCTGAAATAGTCAATCAATGATATCATTTTTGTTTTCTTTTGATACTAGCGGCTTCTTAAGCGGAAGATCTTTTCAAGGGAAGGGTTCCAAGCCAGCCTTAGAACCAGCTTTAGACTGGACTCCGAAGCAAGCCTGAAGCAATGCAGCAAGACCTACACCCCGTTGTTTGTCAGGACCGTAGATAGTGTCCATATTGGATGGAAGACAATTTCATGTACAATTCATATTTTTGCTTTGTTTTTGTATTTATTTATTTCAGTTTGTGTTTTTTCTAATGGGTAACAACGCATGAATCACGTGTATATAAATAGTACTGTTTAATATATATACTTAGAACTTTTGACATGGTTAACATAGGTTTAATCCTCATAACATCAAGCGGGCGTTAGTAACTAGTTTAGACAAAAATATGAAGAAGAATATACATTGACCCTTTAAATTCTGCTTCTAAGGAGAGTATATGGTACAAATGGATACTAATCGATGGATGATCTTAACAAGAAAGTATGTTTAGGAGAGAAACTCTGATGTGGATCAAGACCCTAAACAATCCCTCCAAACCATTTTCAATGCCTTCAATGCTTGAATCCAAGACCTCCAACCTTCGTTGTGTAGATAGAACCTTCTGAGCATCCACAAAATCTTCACCTGAATTATGCACAACCATGTTGCTAATTGCAATATCTACGGTTTCCAGCTCGTTCATGCCTTTGCGTTGGTTGTTGTCACAAACCAACACCCCTTTGTGCAACAAAATCGAAACCAACGACCATCTGCTAGGCCTTGGCTTCAAAATTGGAGTGGACAGAAATGAAGAAAGTGACTGAAAAATGGAGCTGGTAATCAAACTTGCCTCTCTGAACACCCGCACCATCGGAGCCAGATGGTTGTCGAGATCCAAAGGAAATGCTTCGTACTTTTGATCCATTTGCTTCAATGATGCCACAAACTGCACAATTTCCTTGTTCATCTTTTTTCTTATGCAAACATATGAACTTACAATGTCTTCGAAGCTCGAATCTCCCACCTTTCTTCTCCGAAGAGCAGATTGAACACCTCTAACGCTTTCCTTCATGGTCCCAATGGAATCCTTTGTGTTTCCACATACATCCAAGTACTTGACAGAACTATCCAACAGCTCTTCAACCCATTTCTCATTTTGGTGAAGGGCTAGAGCTTGCTGTGCCAATGGCAGGTGAAGAAGCTCCTCAATACAAACGTACAACTCTTTGAGACCACCAAGCCCTTTGCATATTGAATCCGCTTCTGGTGACACAGGCGACGACGACGATGATGTCAACTGTGCCTCCCAGACCTTGAGCTTGTTCAGCTCTTCCTCAGTTTTGGATGTGCTTGGATGTGACCTAACCGGCATACTAATTGATCCAACATTGTGAAGCTTTGAGGGTTTTGGAGAGAACGAAGCCATTGTTGCTCTTTTCATCATAGAAAGGTTGAAATTTTGTGAAAGTTATAAGAACTTATAGAAACTTATAGGAATTGGATTGAAGAAGTTGTGTTGTATGGTTTAAATTTCAAATTCGCATATATATACCGAGGTACAAATTTGAAAGAAGATAGGAGGGGAGGCCAGATTCGCCAGAAGCATCTTTTGGGTCCTTAGGTCAATGTGATCAACATGTGGAGGCCGGTGGGTTATTGTTTCATTGCGTGAGTTATGTTGTCACGTTTCTCGCACCAAATATGAACTAAATATTTATCTAATTTTAATATCAGCTTAATGTTATTTTTTGGGTAAGGTGTTATTTAAAAATTAATTCTTTTTGTTTGCGGTCCAAAAAATCCGTCTAGTCGTGGATAATATATTATTATAGGATTGTATTCTAAATACTTTTAAAAATTAATTGGCCAGTGCTGTTAAATTTTGGTTTTTTATGTGGTCAAATAACCCAAATTCATAGAAAGTTGGTAGAAAAAATTTAAAGAGGTTGAGCATTTCAAAGTTCTTTTGCTGAGAAAGCCTTAGACTGTTGAATATCGAGAAATCCATCTATCCACCGAGATCATGAAATCATTTTTTTTAATTAGTTTTGGAATTTGGTTGGAAATGTGGGGTGTTAAACAAAATTGAAAGCAAAAATTATATTCATAATAAATATGTACATGGGTTGCACGAGTGTCATGTCTTTCGATGTTCCCTTGAAATTGAAAGCTTGCACCCTTCCAAATGCAATCAAACCAACATCAGTTTATACTACTTGATTATGTAGAATTTGATGCGTGTAACTACTAGGTTTCATACTTGGTCTTGGAATCTGATTGTGGTCCCTTTAATATTATGAGTAGTGAGATTGTTGTTTTGTTTGATCCCTCCTTTTTCTTCTTGCTTTGGCCTTAAAGGAAGGAAAGGATGATTTCTTGGTTACTTTTTGACAGATCCTTGACTATTTGGCCAAATTTTTCTTCATCTTTGCTGACAGGTTTGAATAAGTTTTTCAAGGTACTTCTTAATCAGTGGTTTGAATTAGAAGTATTTTAGACCACTTTTTTGAAAGTTTCGTAAGTTTTGGGACGGACTCAATGGAAGGGGACAACATAAAAAGTCAAGAAAGAAAACTCCATACGAAGCACATGCATTCAACAATTTGATTCAATTATATATATATATATATATATATATATATATTTATGGGACAGGTGAACTTGCTTCATTTTTTTTAAGATAAGCTAAAGCTACGATATTTATTAAGAAATGAAGAGAACCTGAACAAGAGATCAAGAAAACATAAAAGTGGTTCTCGCTAAAAACCCTAGCTACAACTCTTATTTTGATTTAAGGAGAAAATGTAACGTACTATAAGAAACTAATTACAAGAATTGTCCTATAATAACAATTTATTACCGAATGTTCTCTATATATATATAACATTGTGAAACATGCCTTCTTGGCTTAGAAAGATAGCATATCATATAATCAAAATTATCACAGCTTGATTCACATATAGAGAATAAAAAATGACATAAGGTGGTTCGTATCAAACCATAACACCTCTTGCAAGTAAAACTAGCTTCTTTAGTTGCTCAGGATAGCTTAGTATGAACAAACTCAGAGGGGGTTAAGATTACTGTTGCTTCCAAATATATAAATTTATTTGATTTCATGACTCTGGCTTGGGAAAGAGACAAGGTGAGAAGTTTTAAGGTATATTACTATATTACCATATTCTTTCACATTTAACAGAAAGCTGCATGTTAGTAAAGGTTGTTCAATTTAAAATACTTGAGCTTCCTTGCCAAGTGTCCTCAAGCAAGCTGCGCAAGGACAGCTAAAGCATATTCAATAATTGGTTTGCACATCATATTATTGCAAAAGGAAATGACTCCACCATATACCGTGGGAAATGGAGACTTAAAAATGAAATATGTCACATCCACATTCTTAAAAATCTTGAATAATTTGTTGGGAAGTACCAGTCACTTCATAAATTGTTTACAATGGTACGAGGAATTACTTCATATATTATTACTCTAATAAATTTGGTTAGCAAAAACAATAAAAGAAAAGTACAGATAAATGTAGAAAGAGATGGCTAGCTGACTTTGTGAAGTTGATAAATTAATTAACAATAAGCATGGTTAAGATATAGGGTAGAGAAAAATTAGCATGTCATTGCCAAGTAAACTAGAAAGCAACCTTTTTCTTTTTTAATTTTTGAGGAGCAAAATAAAAAAATAAAAAATTCACTATCATTGTAATCTTGACCATTAGCCATCTTGAATTACGTTTATAAATTCACATGATGTTATAATCACATTGAAATTTTACGTTATTCTATTGTGAAAACTAAACGTTCTTCTCCAATGAAGACTAAGAGAGGACAAGGAAAGTCCCGTTGGAGCTAAGCCCAAAAATCTAAGTCTAGATGAAACCAATAAAGAGATTTAGTAGTGGAGTGTACTCAAAACTTATTTGGGCTTGAGCATACGTAATGTTTACAATTTTACGCACAAGAATATAAATTAGCATAAGGTTTAGGGATCTGTTATGAAGTGAATAATGTTCGCCATAATTTGAATTGTAAATTAATGGTGTGCCAAAACTAACCAAGATCAAAAGGATTTTGCCTAGCACTAAGGAACCTAACTGAGAGATGTATAGAAGCATCGATATTTCTTTTTTGGTGAATTTGAAATGTTGTAGATGTTGATCAAATGCTGTTTTAACTATGGAAATTCTTTTCAAGTTCCTTTAGCCTTGATGTGCTAGTTGTTTAGAGTTTGATAGGAATCAGAGATGCAAAAAACAAAAAGGAAATTTCAACAAGAAATCTACTTCAAGATTTGGTGATGAGAGGACTCAAATGAGAGAACCAAGCAGAGAATAAAATCTAAGATCTCTAAATTACAAATGAAGAGAAATATTACTAGTGTATAGTACAAAGTGACAAATTTTATCAACTCTTTACATCTATACTATAGGAGGAGTAGCAACACGTGTCTGCATAAGCAGCAACGTACACTTCACACCTCCTGCACACAAATGAAACAGTTTGGGGACCTTTTGTCCTGAATTAACCAATTTTAATATGCATTTACCATAATTTTAATGGAGACATGAATAGTACAAACCACTCGTGCACATAATATAAAACTGATTAATTCCAATAATGATGTTAATCTTGGCTTTCTAACTACCATAATGTGGCACTAGCGGAGCAATGTTTGTGATGACTCGTGATGCTTTTGCCCTAACCAATGCACCAAAGACAAGATCCTCATGCTAATTGCCATACCTAAAGAAATTGCTAATTATTGAGGCAATGTTACCCAAATACGTGACAAGGTAACCAAAACCCGAGGAAAGCCCACTCTGGCTCCACATTGGATTGAACAGTCTTGGTTCCCCCCTCCATCCCTCTCCCCTCTCTGTGTTAGTATATAATATAGTGTTGAAAATATTTCACATAGACCATATCAATAAGAAAAGAAGAGTATAAACCCCACACATGGCGGGTTGTGCATGTGATAATTACCAAGTTGGAGACAGTATCGGTATTATTGATAGTGGGCCCTTGACTCGTCTCTCTGATAATTCTACATGGTATCAGAGCCAGAGAGCGGACCTGTACAGTACTACCACGTGATGGGTGGGTTCCCTTGGCCCCGCGTGATGAAGGTGGGTCCCTTGGCCCCGCGTGTAGGGTGAGTCCCTTTGATTCCACGTGGTTGTCGATGTGTGGATCTCCCACGTGTGACCCACTAATGGGGTCTCACATGAGGGGGCGTGTTGAAATGTCCAACATCGACCGTATCAATGAGAAGAGAAGAGTTTAAATATCCTAACCTAACCCAACTCCAACTAAAATCGAGGCATTTTGTGATAAAAATCCCACACTTGACAGATTATGCAGGTGATAATTACTAAATTGGGGACAATATCGATGTTATTGAAAGTGGACCCCTCTCTCTGAAAATTCTACATATAGGCATTCCCAAAGATAGTACGGATCAAACACCTCAAACTTGCGCTCTTTAAAAAACAAAGAACAATCTCAACTTTGAGCTTTTTGTCAAACCCTAAACGATGGCTGCCAAACACCATGTTATTAGATCAATCAGCCTGCCCTCAAGGTCTCACCCTAATACTCTTAGGGTTGAAGAGGAGCTGAACAGGCTCCAAACATCGTCATCTTGTGATTCAACTTTAGACTCAATCTGCAAATCTCTATGTGGGCTAGACGAGTTGTATGAGTGTGTAGATGATCTTTTACAGATGGCATCAACCCAACAGCTCCTTTCTCAACACCAACAAAAGAAGTGCATGGATGAGTTGTTGGATGGATCACTCATGAGGCTCTTGGACATATGTGGCATCACAAGAGATGCCATTTCAACAATCAAGGAACATGTTAGAGATCTTCAATCTGCTCTTAGGAGGTGAAAGGGAGACTCAAGCCTTGAAAGCAGCATTTCCAAGTAAACTTGCTTCAGAAATAAGATGAACAAGGATGCCAAGAAATTAATCACATCTTTGAAACAAGTAGACAATAAAATTACAACATCACCACTTCTTGAGCAAGATCACCATCTCACTGCGGTGATTCGAGTTCTTAGAGAAGTTTGTGTGAAGAACATGTCTATCTTCCAATCCCTCTTGGTCTTTTTAGCAGTTCCAGTTTCAAAGTCAAACAAGTGGTCTTTGGTACCAAAGTTCATGCGCAAAGGAGTGATAACATGTGAAGATCAGAAGGAGTACATTAATGGCCATGAGTTTGATGGTGTTGATGCTGCTCTATACAATCTATGCAAATCATCAACTGCTACATTTGAATGTGCAAATAAAAGATCGGAAGCTTTGGAAGTAACCATTGAAGGACTTGAGAATGGTTTAGAGAGCGTTTTTAGGTGCATGATTATAACAAGAGCTTCTCTTTTGAACATAATCTCACAATAATGTGCTCTCAAAGGCCATGTATATGTATCAAAAAATCCTCAAGGCATCCACATTTTTTAGGATTCATTTGGGATTATATTTTCTGCTATGCATTTGTAATGTATATATAGCCTTACAAAGAAATACAATTGATACCCAAGTTCTTGATTCACATCATGATATTTCCTTGAAATTTTAAGTTGTAATGGATGGATTGGACTTGAGTACCAAATCATATATTGAATATTTATTATTTTACATTCTAGCTTTGTAAGATGCAGGTGGTGATCTCTGCTTAATTATCTTTCTCAAGTCTTTGCACCAAAAATCATTGGAGAACGGAGAATTTTAGTAGTATTTTTTGTTGAAATTAAACTTGCAAAGCAGACGGGCTGTTTTTTTTTTCTTTGTTATCTCATTTTTGGATGGGTTTACCTAGAGTTAGCTAGCTTATGAAAGTGAAAATTCTAATATGATGGTAGATAGGTTTTTAGTATTAAGAGCAACTCCAGCATGGAAGCCCTCCCCCCAGACTATTCAATATTCAATCCATACTGTGAATAGTAACCGCCCTTAATGAAGAGTAACTGCTTTTTGCATCTCCATCGTTGCACTTGAATAGCCCTGACAATAGGAAATAAAATATAATTTATTTATTTTTTAAATAATACAAAATAATTTTTTATTTGTAATTTCAGATAAGATTTTTAATCGTTCTCGTTGCGCCATGTGTCATTATCCGAAAAGACAATTATTGGTGATGGATTTCGATAAATAATTATAATGTAAATTTGGGTATAGTACAAACAAATAAATAATATATTGTTACATGATCTGCATAATTTTCCCCACTTCGAAGATTAGTACTAGCTTGTGCCAAGACGTCTCTCCACGTACTAAACGATAGGCTAAGTAATTTCCAACAACTGGACATCGATTCTTTGGTTCTTTTCCCACTCATTTTCTCAAGATAATTGGTATGAATAAGACTCCACATTTCTCACAACTGCATCTCATTACCCGTAAGAGAACTATGAGTAACTTCAACCCAACTAGTACACAACGCAACATTTTCAAGAAGCGACCAATTTGTACCTGCATCAGTATTCATTTTGTTGAAAAAAATTGGATTGAAACTTTAAGAGAAAGATAGGAATTTGATTGAAAGTATGTGAGAAAATATGAAATTGTGGTGTAAGGTAGATGATAATGAGAAGGTATTTATAGAAAAGTAAAAACATTTTTTTTTTTTAAATTTCAAATTTTTTTTTCGGATTTTTTACAATTTTTTTTAGATTTTTATTGAACTAATTAATCTCTGCCGTTGGATTTAAAAAAATTGAATTCCAACACTCCAGATTGTGCCATGTGTCACAACGGTAACTTTTCTTAATTTTAAAACTATTTTTTCTTTCTTTATTTATTTATAAAGCAAAATAATATCAACCGTTGATCTCAGATCCAACGGTTGATATTAAATAAGATTGTATTTTTATTTTTATTACCGTTGCAAATCGGACGGTCCAATTTAAAGAGCCGTTGAAATTGAACGGACCGTGGGAAGCCACGTGACTTCCCAACGGTAACCTCGGTAGACTATGACACGGGCCCTATACTCTGAAAAGTTGTCGGCTGACGCGCCCCCATGCGCGGGTGAGTCGCATGCGCCTGACAGAAAAAAATATAAAATTGGGCTGATGCTAGGATGACATCAGCCCTGACATCACATCCACTCGGGCTGGCAATTCCTCACAGCCCAAAGCTCGGGCCTCCACTCTCCCTCAGGCTACCCACACTGGAGCTTCAAGGCCGAACTATCTGGCCCTATTTCGTCCCCCGTCCTCCGAGCACAAGCCCACACTGGAGTTGCTCTTAGGGTTTGGGAGGAATTCCCAATAAAGTAAAGCTTTTTTTTTTTTTTTGTCATTAGTTAAGCTTGGGGGTGGGGGGAATCGAACTTGGGTGAGGTGGGAGTTTCTTTGGCTCTAGTGCCACTGCAACTAGGCCCCCATCCTCAATAAAGTAAAGCTTTAGAAGGTGACCAATGGCAATTACCTATATAGTGACTCCTTTTTATGAAGGGGAAATGTATTAGTTGGTTATTATTTTCTTTTCGAGGAAATATTAGTTGATTAGATCTGAAGGAATTGGGCTGTTTCGTATACGTCAATGATCCCAAAGCATGCAGATCCCATACGCATGCATGTGAGTCTGTGATGGCATGCAACGTGGGTCTAATAACCCTGTCTTAACTCTCATCATCACTCTGAAATATGATGCCCCTGCAACTTTATTTGCCAACAAATTAAGACAACAAAAAACACCTTCTTTTAATTGCATTGGAGGTTGGAGCATGCGATGAGATAAGTAGTAGTGTTAAGGATGTTAAATTTTATAAACTAAATAATATAGAAATTGATAATTTGATTATTACCACTAGTACATAACATCATATTTACCAAATCAATTTCATCACGGGCATCAATAACTCGTGGTAGAAACTATTCAATTACCACGGTTAAGTGTAGCTCGTGGTAGATAACATTAATCTACCACGGTTAGATTTCGGCCCATTGTTAAAAGTGAATAATCTACAACGGTTTGTAATCCAGAGATGGAATATCAAAACCACCATGTGATATGCTCGTAGTGATTACTTCAAACGACCACACGACCTTTTGAAAATTCACCACGCCATCAGCCCGTGGTGGATGTTTTTATGTTTTTTTTAATATATTTAGAATCATTATATTACTTATTATTTATTACTATATTCATTATTGATTGCAATAAAATATTTCTTTCATAATTTATTATTTATTATTATATTTGAAATACTATACTTTTGTTTAACCTTTAAATTCGATAATATCCAATAGTCCTAATTAAAAGTGATGCGGAGAATTTCAATCTATAAATGACATGAATGATACAAATAATGATAAATAAAATCTACAAAATGTGGGAGGGAGGCAAGGAGACCTCCATTGCTTTCGTGACTACCCAGAACACCCAAATTTGGTTTGTCGTCAATGCGATTTGACCAAAACAAATAAAAAGTGATAATTACAATTCAAGGACTATGTAAAATTAAAATAGAACTATATATTTAAAATTTAAGATATCAAAATTTTACCATAATTACAACATAAAAACTTATATGTATAATTTTATTTAAATGTATTAACCCATTAATGGGTGCTGCGCCGCCGTATCAGAGTCTCAATGTACTTTTAGTCTTATGGCTATAAGAGAGTCCCAATAATAAAATTTACTATATTTTTTGAGTGATGATATACCCACCCCAATGTCTTATTTCCCCTTCCATCTTATATTTACACCCATCATAACAAGATAAAACACACATAAACTCTTTCCCCACCCACCATTATTTCCAAAATAACCCTATATATTTCTTCTTCCAATTTTCCTTGCTTTAAAAAATTTATTATAATTTAACAAAAATGAAAATTATCATTAAACAAATATACCCAACAACTCCAACTCCAAATATCACAGTAGTCCCCTCCCCAAAAAATTCCCAGAACCGTCACTATCAACACACCCAAACCTCAGCCCAACCCCCCCCCCCCAAAAACACGGACTTGGATTGTCTGCGCTCTAATTTTGGTGCCCTTCCCGTACCCTCCTGTTTTTGTGGTCACGATTAAACCACGTCAACATTTTATATTACTATTTTTTTTGTTTTATTATTTTTATAAAAAAATAATATAAAATATTAACGTGGCTTAACCGTGACCACACAAAACAGGAGGGCACGAGAAGGGCACCGAAATGGGAGGCAGACAATCCAAGTCCCCAAAACACACCCAGCGCCCTCCTTGCCCAAAATCCTCGGTCGGCCTCAACGGCGTGTTTTTGGAATCGGGAGATGGTTCTCCCCATTTGATCGAGTCGTTGGAGGACCGCAGAGGAGATCAATGGATGAGATGGGTTTGCCGTCAGAGCATAGCCTCTACGAGTTTGGCGAAGGTCTCAGCCATGGCGAGCAAGACGATCGGTGAGAAAGCCAGTGCATAAGAGAAAGGGAGAGGAGAGAGAGAGGGAAGGAGGAAGAAACGGTAGTGTTTAGGGTTGAAGCAGTGAGGTAAGAAATTAAAATGGGGTGAAGTTGTGGAGGCTAAGGTCGGGGAGGGTGGTGGTTATGGGTTCTTCAAGTTTTGTTTTTTTTTTTTAATTTCATTTTTATGTTAAATAAGTTTTAAGTCCAGCTGTATAATAATTGTATATGTATTAAATTTCGAATGGAAGTTATGTGCTGATGTGGTAATACTAAATTATCTAATGATTTATCCTAAATGTGGAGGTGAAGGGGTTTGTGGCAATATATGATTGGTTGGTTTTTAAGTCTTTGAATGTCATTTTATACAAGGACAAATTTGTTAATAAAAATATTATTTTAAAGTGGGTGAAGTGATAAGATATTGGGGTGGGCTTAGTAGCACTCTATTTTTTATTGGAAAGAAAACTTAATTAAAAACCCACTAAGCGAACAAACTGTTGTTCAAGTTCCCACTAGCAGTTATATTTGGTTATCCCCTCAATCCTTCTCTTCACATTGTTCTATTTTTCTAGGACGCAAAAGATTATTCACTAATCTCTCTCTATAAATATGGTATGAATTGAGTGGTCTTGTGGTTGCATTTGGCTCTTTTGCGATACTCTCACGATCTCTCAAGCTCTCAGCCCTCTCATTGTCTCTTTCTCTCAGTGAGTTTGATTTGGATCGTCTCTCTCTCTCAAGGTGGAATCTTGGTTTCAGACTATATAGTCTCGATTATGGTATTTTTTGTGCCTCTTGATTCTGGTATGTCAGTTTCCTAGGGTTTCTTTCTACGAATTTTCTCGGTGTTATTTCATCAATTTCGGCAAATTCCAACCCTATCTATTCTCCATAAGTTCTCTCGTTGTTTAGGGTTTTTTCGTTTTTTCTATGTTTTACTTTATCACTAATTGCTAATATTGTTGGAGGATTTTTTGTAATTGGAGCTAGTCCCATTAGTACGCTGGCTTTTTTTTTTTTTTGTCATTCGTTATCACTGATGATTTATAATTTAATTGTTGTTTTGGGATTTTAAGGAGGTGCGTTGATGTGCCATCAATGTCAGAGGAACAACAAAAGAGGAAACGATTTTGTATTCCTTAAGTGATGAGTTTTGATTTCTAAGCTTGATATTTTTCCTTGTGTCTCATAGATGGTTGGTGGTTCTAATTCATGAGGGTTTATAACTCATATCAACTACTACATTTACAGGTACCTACAAAATTGAAGTGTGATTAGCTTGCTAGAGATGCGTGTCTTCTTGAAGAAACGATTGCAGAGAAGATGAATATAATTGGAGGATCAAGGTTGGAACTAGGACTTGAGTTTTGTTTTGGAGTGTGAAACAAAGTCTATACATGTTTTGGTACATAAATGTAAAGTATAACTCTGTGATTTTGTGTAAATGTGCAATTTTGTAAATAAATATCTTTATTATTATTATTATGTATATATTTATTCATTAAATAATTTTTTATTTTTTTTATATTTTGATTTTTTTTAATAACGGGCACTAGCCGTGATCAATTTGTAATCCACAATGGCCATAACACGTGATGTTAGCTATCAATCTACCACAGGCATAATTCGTGGTTATACTGCATTTGACAACGGGCATAGCCCATGGTAGAAATAAAGACTTTTCATCACATCCATAATACTAACGGGCACGATGCCCGTGGTAAATTGTAATTTATCACGGACATCAACCGTGGTAGATGAGCTTTTTTCTTCTACCTAAGTGTAATTAACGTGTTTATTTTTTATTGATGATACGTCATTTAATTTACAATTATAATCTACACATTTAATCTCTCTAACATTAATTATATATATTATATCATGCTGTATGTTTTTGAAAACGTGAAAAACTGCTGCAGGCTCTCCATCACGAATAATACTGCACACCATTTATTTGCATGCCTTGCTGTAGGGCTGGGTTCGGTTCTTATCGGTTCGGTTTTTTGCCAAAACCGAAACCAAACCGAAATTTCGGTTCGGTTCGGTTCGGCCCAAATTTTTTTCGGTTTTTTTCGGTTCGGTTTCGGTTTTTTTTTGGTTTTTTTTTTCCTCCAAAAAATGCAAAACAACCACAAAAAATGCACATTATTCTCTTCGGTCTCGTTCAACAATGGCGCATTTTTCCCTTCAGTCTTGTTCATCAATGTCGTGTCCTGCACTTCAAACTTGTTTACGCTTAACGAAGCATTTTTCTCTTCAGCCTCGTTCAACAAAGTCGCATTTTTCTGTTCAATCTCTTTCATCACAGGCCATTGTTGCTCTTCAATCTTTTTTTCGCTCAATTCAGCATTTTCGTCTTCAGTCTTGTTTAACAATGGCATATTTTGCTCAACAGTCCCGTTCAGCAATGATGCAGTATTTCCTTCAGTCTTGTCCAACAATGGCGCATTTTTATCTTCAGTCTCTTTCATTAATGGCCATTGTTGCTCTTCAACCTTGCTTTCGCTCAACGTAGCATTTTGCTCTTCAACCTTGCTTTCGCTCAACACCGCATCTGTCTTGTTCATCATCATCTGTCTCATTCTCCTTCCTCTGCATCCCGCTAACAAGTGAATTAGTCCCAGAAAAGCTAGAAGCCTATGCACAAATGTAGTTAATATCAGCCATCTAGATTGCTTTGGAAATGGTAAAATAAGTAACCATATTCAGGTTAAAACTTAAAACCAATTGAAGAAGCTGTGCTAAACACGTCACAAAGAATCTGTGCTATTGAGTAAAATAAGTAACCATATTTCTGCTGCTCGTTCAGAAGCACATCAAACAACCATGTTTGTTATATATTAACCATGTTTCTGAGTTCTGACCCTTTAGTTTGTTTATTCACATCAATTTTCCCACTTAAATTTTCACAAGCCATTTCATTATTTTGTCCCTCCCTCACCTCCAAAATCTTCCTCTCCGCTTCCACTTTAAATTTACTACCAGATGGATTAAACTAGTTATTAACAACCTCAGACACAACAAACAACAAGTAATCTGCAGCAACTCATAGTCTAAATCTAATAGTCATAAAGCTACACTTGCAGAACCAAATCCAGGCTTCAGCAGCAGCATACCCAAAACAAATTAATCAAACCGTATGTACTCTCACAAATTAATCAAACCTCAACTAATAGTCTAATAGTGTTCATAAATGAAGTTACCTAACCAAATCCAGCATACCCAAAACAAATTGCAAAACCATGAAATTTAGAAGCTACAGATCAAATTCATCAGAAGTTCAGAACCAACGAAATTGAAAAAAAAAATCTGCAAAACGCATCATGGGGTGAGAGACTAACCTTGCAAAGGAGGGGATTTGTGGGTCGACACTTGAGCCTTGAACCGGCGAGAGAAAGTCGACGGCGAGTGAGAGGGATAAGAGAAAGATCGCTGAGAGACGGCGACGGGGATGGGTGCTGGAGACGGCGACGGCGAGTGAGAGGAAGGGTTGCTGCAGGGTCTGCACGCTCGCAACCATGAGGATCGGTGCTGGAGCTTGAGGGAGGACTGAGAGAGAAGAAGGGACGAGAGAGAGAAGAGGGAGAAATTGGAGGCATGGAGGAAGTCTGGATATGTGGCTGCGCAGAGAGAGATGAGGGGAATGACAAATAGAAAAAGTGTGGCTGCTAGGGTTTTATTGATTTGATTATAAAAATTAAAAAAAATCCCAAAATCCAGGGGGCGTGAAGAGGGTTCGAACCCATGCGCTCCACCAGCTTGGAAAGTTTCACTAACCAACTTCACAACAAGTTCTGTTTTGTTATAATTGTATGACTAAACTATTTATAAACATTGAAAAAAATAATTAAATATATATATATCGGTTCGGTTCAGTTCGGTTCGGTTTTCGAACCTCAAAAGCCGAAACCGAACTGGGCAGATTCGGTTCGGTTCGGTTTTTTTCGGCTTCGGTCCGGTTTGGTTTTCGGTTTTTTTCGGTTTTCGGTTTTTTGAACCCATCCCTACCTTGCTGTTGTTGCCTCCCCATTCATCAGTATTTAACATTTTTGTTTGTTTACAATTACTGTGCTGTACAATATCTAATTTTCGAATGGTTTCAGTTCTGACATAGTGTTTTCCTTTTTTTTTTTTTTTTTTTGTGAGAACAAGTTTAGAGAGACGGGAAACTATTCTATTCTAGAGTTGTGACATATCATGATTCTCTTTTGAGAACTTATAAGGGGAGAAAGAAAATAATATACGACTAGGATCTGTCTTTTTGATGAGGGAAAATTAGGCAAGGAAGTGGAGAAAGAAAATAATATACGACTAAGATCTGTCTTTTTGATGAGGGAAAATTAGGCAAGGAAGTCAGTGCAGGCTTATGATTAGTAAGAGGTAGATAAGTTTGGGGATGGATTGCCCTCCCCTCCCCCATGCCTTCCCCGTATCCTTCTGTTTTGTGCGGTAAGTCACGTCAACATTTGTTTTTTATCTTATTATTTTTATAAAAAATTAATATAAAATATTGACGTGACTTAATCGTGATAGTACACAACAGAAGGATATGAAAATTGTATGAAAAGAGGAGGAGAGACAATCCATCTCCACAAGTTTGCACTCTTACGACCGGAGGCGAAAGATGACTTGACCTTTTCACTTTTCCAGAGGAAGGAAAACGAAAGTTCCGAGGAAGACAGAGTAATTCGAACTTTTGGGAATGGGGGAGTGAATTGAGGTAAGAGTTATTTCGGCATAAATTGGCGCAAGGAATTTGCTCTCGTTCGAGCGATGTTCGACGTTAGTTGAAGTTGAGGGTCTTAGCCCTTTTTTGGTTTATAGTTTTTCATGTTACAATTAATTTTGTCATGCTCTTGTCAGTGATTTGTCTACAATAATGTTCTCATGCTCCTGTCAGTGATTGGTCTTGTGTCCTGCTTCAAAGAACCACAGAGGCATGCCGCATGTGTATTGACTAATTTAAAATTTGTATTGGCAAGTTGGCAAGCTCACAAGCTCAAGTAACGAAGAAAATCAAACGATACCGTAAATCATACGAAATATGAAAGAAACTCGAAGTTTTTTATTGATAATATAGGATAACAATCTTTGGTCATCTCCAATAGTAGAAAGCTAAAGAGCGAAGAGAGCCACATTTTAAGCTGCAACTCACGAGGCACCGCCGCAGGTGTTAGCATCGGCTGAAGTTGCCCACCCCGCTCCCGATCAAAACGAGCATCCAGCACTTCCTCCAAATATTGTTCTTCTAACGTGTAGTCCCAACTATATTATTTCCATCTCCACTGCTGACTAGTACATGCATGGTTATATACTAATAATTCATAGTATTTGGAGAGAGAAAAGGAAAAATAAAAAATAAAGAGATAGGAAGCCCATGTGAGCTCCACAAAAAGCTTTGTAAGAGACCTAAATGTATCCCACTTGAGGGCTACAAATACCCATAAATTGTAAGAGCAGTTCCACTCTTAAAAAAATGCGCTAGCATTCAGCCCCTTTAATTCACTCGGTGAACAGTGATAGACCCAATAAATAGTAATAGACCAAATGCATCTCCATCCCTAAAAAAATGCGTTGGCACAAAGTCTAAAAAATGCGCTGGCACAAATGATTTCCACCCCTACAAAATGCGCTGACACCTAGCTCATTTAAAATATTTTAATTTTTTTTTATAAAAGAATAAATAAATAAAATAGTTTTAATTTTGGAAAGGATTTTTAACCAATCTCGTCATGTCACGTGTCATTATCCGAACGTACTATTTTGTGAATAGATATCCGCTAAGATTTTCAACCAATCCCGACGCGCCATGTGTCCCTATCTGTTTACAATAATTTAGTCAAGATTACGATAAGATTTCCAACCAATCTTGTCATGCCACATGTCATTATCCAAATGTACTATTTTGTAGATAAATTTCCGATAAGATTTTCAATCAATCCCAACGCGCCACGTGTCACTTCTTGTTTACAATAATTTAGCCAAGATTTCGATAAGATTTTCAACCAATCACGTAGTGCCAAGTGACATTGTCCAAAACATCATCCTTTCTTTTTTTTGTCCATATAAACCCTACATCCATCCTCACATCAAACTCAATCCTTCTTTTTAGCTTAGAATCATTCTTCATCGTTTTCAAATCTTGAGTTATTACAATGTCTTCTTCAAAGAGAGTGTATAAACAGTTTGAGCAGCAACATGAAAGATTGTTGGCACAACAAGAAAAATTGGTCAATCTCGAGGAAGGTGGAGGTGGAGATGAGGCTTTTGCAATGGAGGAAGATGAGGATGATGACCATAAAAGGCAGTGGGCCTCACATTCCCGTCGTATGCGGGTGTAACACAAATAAATAAATTAAAATATTGATGCGGGTGGAATACATATAAATAAATAAAAATATTGGCACCTGATATGCTAAACTTGTCCCACTACGCGGATTACCAGAAGCATGAGAGATGGTGTTTCTCCTACAAGTAAAGCATGTGTTGAGTTTTTTCCAACAACCTTGAAGACCTTGACTACTTCTGACATCTTTTCCATGTACATTGCAAATCGCTTTCGTAATTTTACTCCACATTTCTCGCTTATCCATCTCATTACCCGTAATCGGGTCATGAGTAGTGTGAACCCAACATTCACACAACGTAACATTCAATGAGCTTCCACGAAGTCATTTTTTCTCTCAAAGTGTAGAAAATATTGAAATGTAGAAAGTGTAGAAAATATTGAAATGTGGTGGAAGGTGATGAGGGTTAGATATTTATAGAATTTTTTTTAAAATTTTTTAACAATTTTTTTGTATTTTTAATTAATTTTTTTTATAAATTTTAATTTAGTTAATTATTCTGGACCGTTGGATTTGAAAAATATTCAAATCCAACAGCCTATAAGTTGACATGTGGTCAACGGTCATAATTCTGACCGCTGTGCCTTATATATATATATATATATATATTTTTTTTTTTGGGGAAAAAAATATGAACCGTTAATCTGTGATTGGACGGTTCATATCAAAATTCAAAAATTTTTTACCGTTGGAAATCCAACGTTCCAAAAAACTAGCTGGTGGAAATCCAATGGCCTAGCCCATGCCATGTGGCTTCCCCATCTGTTCGTTGAGTGAGCCTACGCATGCGGGCCCCGCACGCCTAGTCGAGCATGCTTGCCACGCGCCTGGCGCAAAAAAAAAATTCAGATTGCCTCTGACGCCACGCTGGTGTTGGCATGGCATCAGATGGGCCAGTCCATGCCTTTGTCGATTCTGGGCTGGCCTAGAGACCAGCTTGGGCTAGGTGCCAGCTTATCTGCTGGGCTGGAGTGGATTGGCTAGGTGCCGGGCCAATAATTTGGCTGGGTGCTGGCCTAAAGGTTCCACAGTGGAACTGCTCTAAGAGACTTAAATGTATCCCACTTGAGGACTACAAATACCCATCCATTTATGGTGACAAGCATATAACCTGCTTATTGAAGACGAATTTTGCACATTTTCAAATTAAAAATGGCTTATACCCTTGACTTGAAATCATCTTAATACAAAAATGCCTTCAATTTCTCTATGGTCTGTCAACTAAAATCTCTTTTAAAATATAACTACCTCAGAACTGAAACCATATTTTTTAACCTAGTATCCGATATAGAATTTGACCCAAATCAAAACCCAGAGCTAAATATGAAAAGTTTAGGTAATTTTACTGTTTTTGAACTTGTTTGTCAAATTGCTCCTCAATCTTATTAGTCGTCATTTCAAACATCGCTCGACATTTACTATTACAGGTAACCATAGGCCTGCAATAACTCATAATTTCATATATGGATCGTGATGTATGTTGGTGATGTTGGTATCGTTTTGGAGACAGGAGGCACTAAGGCAGTAGATATTTCTCCTTTTCTCCTATTCTCCTATACACACATAACCTATTCATTCTTTGTAAATTGACATTTCTGGCCGGCTACATCATCAACGAATGTATACCAAAGATACAAAATTTGATGGTGTGGGCGGCTTAATACTGCTGGAGAAAGTCACAATATTTTCTATGTAATTCATCAGACCAATCCAATTGTATAAAACCAATCAGAACACACAATTAACGGCACATCGATTACATGCTCAACATATTGTATTCACATATATCCATGAGGGCCACAAGAGATTTTTCTGCATAAATTAATTTAATTTGGTATTCACTCGGAATGTCACTGGGGCACATTACATTGTCTTTGCACACATATTAGATATTTATTATCTATTATATAAGCATCGATCTTAATATGGTTCATGGCCCGTGCAGCTATAAAGTGCATGTTGATCTAGCCGGCTATCTAGCTTGCCAGAATAGTCTTTAACCAATATATGTTAGAGGAAAGCACTTGTTTCCCTATTATGGAATCTTGCTTTTCCCCATTCGAAATTAACGTATCTTTACTATGCAAATAATATAATTTGAACCGTTTATTTTTTTATTACTATCTAAAGATCTACAAAAAAATTATTTAATTGAAAATTTTTAACCATCCATATATATCAACCACAGTTATATATACTTACAAATCTGTGTAATTAGTTATGAAAATGATGAACTCATCAATCATCATGCATGAATCACAAGCCATACAAATTAAAGGACAACAGAACAAAACAGTTCAGTTAATGGCTCAGTTAAAGGCTGTAATTTTCTAATGTTTGTTCACGTTTTTATGCAGCAATGCATCATGCATGATGATAGCAAGTTTTTGTAATAAAAACTTTACAACTCCAATGGTATTAAAGAGCGTAATTTGTCGTTTTTGTCTTGTGGGCAAAGAAAGTTGCGGGGACATCCTAGAGGTGAGAGAGCCTTGGGATGAAGAGATTTTTAGTGACAGTGACATGAGATGGTACACAACGTGTCATTATATAAATAGTGAGATATATATGTTAAAAATTTAATAACTTAAAAAATAAAATTTTCCACCACTTAAATAAAAACATGTAATGTTTGGGAGCAGCCTCTCCATAAATGGGGGTAAGGCTAGCCGACATTCACCTCTCCCAGACCCTGCGTAAAGCGGGAACCTTATGCACTGGGTACGACCGACATAAAAACACGTAATGTATCATCCGTATTTCTATCACAACTAAAAATTTCTCCTTAGAATGATTCATGCAATCACACAGAGTCACATGCATACGTTCTATGGATGAACCGTATGAAAGAGCCAAGCTTTCCCCTCAATTTCTTAGAAATTTTTCATATTAAAGAAACAGAGAATTTTTATACCCGCATGAACTTGGAGAAGAGCTAAATTGACTTCAAGTGTGGAGTTTTATTCTAAGAAGTCGTGTTATTAGTAATGGAACAAAAACTTTAAACATTATTATTGTACTCCTTAGATCTGAAAACTTACACAAACTGCTCATTCGATATGGGTCTGGCACATCTCCTTTGGCTTGTAAGCCAAACCACACCAACAATATCTTCAATCCTCCTATGTCTTAACCCTAAACTCTAAACTTACTCAAACCAATAGTTTACAGATGTCTGTTATAATGCAGTTATGCAAAGTTAGTTTCAATAGAAAATACTATTCTCGAATGATTTTTCCGACCCAAGGAAAAGAAGTCTCCGATGATTAGGTGATGTGACTAAACTGACAGAGCCAAGCAAAGATCTTCTCCTACCTATATTCCAAACGTAAAATCTTGAAGTTCAAATCTTCTATACTCCTTTTGTATGTGGTTTTTTTTTTGTGGTTCTCCTTAATTTGGTAGTTATAAACTTAACACATATCAACCACATAACTATTGAAAAGCCATACATAAAATAAGTACAGAATATTAAATAAAATTCATAAGGAAATCTACATCAATGATTTGGTGAAATGACTCAAATATAGAGAGCACCAAATGTCCCCAAGGTCTACACGTCAACTTCTAGTGTGGTCATGAGTCATGACTTCTATGCAAACATTTACCAAAAGTCTAATAGAGACATGACTAGTACAAGTCACTCGTGCATACAATAATATGTTACATATCTTAATTATCCCAATGGATCGAAATCTCTATATCTATGCAACTTTGGTGTTGGATCTTTTAAATAACTGAGAAAATCTATACAAGGCCACCGATTGGAGGACTGGCCCGCCACAGTTCAATAAATTAAAAATGAAGGGCAATGTGGGCAAAGTCGGTGATGACTCGTGAGGCTTTTGCCACAAACAATTGGGGCCTCAAATTATTTAAGCAATAATGTTACCTGAAATTGTGACAAAGTAACATGCTCTCCATATTAACCCAAAAGTCTTGTCACTCTCACCTTTCATCAATATATATAAACGTATTCCAAGATATAGTGAGACCAAAAACCTCAAACTTGAGCTCTTGTGAAACATAAAGAACAGCTTCAACCATGGCTGCCAAGTACAAAGTCAGATCAATCAGCCTACCCTCAAGATCACACCCCACCACTCTTAGGGTTGAAGAAGAGCTGAGTAGGCTCCAAACATCTTCATCTTTTGCTTCAATCTGCAAAGATCTATGTGGACTAGAGGAGTTGTATGATTGTGTGGATGATCTTTTACAGATGGCATCAACCCAAAAACTCCTTTCTCATTACCAACAAGAGAAGTGTATGGATGAGTTGTTGGATGGATCACTGAGGCTCTTGGACATATGTGGCATCACAAGGGATGTCATGTCACAAATCAAGGAACATGTTAGAGACCTTCAATCTGCTCTTAGGAGGAGAAAGGGAGACTCAAGCATAGAAAGCAGCATTGCAAATTACAATTGTTTCAGAAAGAAGATGAAGAAGGATGCCAAGAAATTGATCACATCACTGAAGCAAGTAGACAACAAAGCATCACAGCATCTAGAGCAAGATCAGCATGCTTCCGCGGTGACTCGAGTTCTTAAAGAAGTGTTTGGTAAGAACATGTCTATCTTTCAATCCCTATTGGTCTTCCTAGTAGTTCCAGTTTCAAAGCCAAGGTCAAAGAAGTGGTCTTTGGTATCAAAGTTTATGCACAAGGGAGTGATAGCATGTGAAGATCAGAATAAGGATATTAATGGCCATGAGTTGGATGGTGTTGATGCTGCTCTCTACTCTCTATGCAAATCTTCATCAGCTCCTACAGAAGGTGCTAATGTTGAGAAGATTCAAAACGCACATAAAAAATTGAAGGCTTTGGAAGTCACCGTTGAAGGCCTTGAGAATGGTTTGGATAGCGTTTTTAGGCGCTTGATTAAAACAAGAGCTTTTCTTTTGAACATAATCTCACAATGATGTGTTTTAAAAGGCCGCAGTTATTTGTTTCAAAGCCTCTAAGGCATCCACATTTTATTAGGGTTTCCATTGGGATTAACACTTTTTGATACATTTGTTAAATGTATAGCCATACAATGAAATACAATCGAATCGACACCTTGAATCACATCAAGATATTTCTTTCCTTTATCTTTTAGGTAATCGTCTTGTGATTTGTATCCCAAAAGCATCAATATCGCAAACCCTAAACAACTTGCAAGGCTAGTGAAACTTTTGGAGGAATTTGATTTTCTAGGAACAGGAAGAAAACCATTAAAGAGGTTTATTCTTGCCTACGTCATCCTCTCTTCAGCTGTCTTGTTCAACAAGAGGCATCAGAAAACTAAGGATGTCATCATCTTATAGCTTTATTTCATACATATGAAAGGGCTTCGATCAGATAACTAATGTTATGTCATCATCCTGTAACTTTCTAATGCCGGCCCCCGCAACCTTCTTGGCCAACAAAAAAGACAAATGACACTTTCTTTAGTCACATTGAGGCACATGAGATAATTGATGAGTAATTTATTATATATATTGTTTGGTAATAAATTTAGGGTGATGCTAGAGAGATCATTTTTAGATCATATTTTATAAATATATGATATGTGTTGATTGAAATCTTTATTTAAATATTAAAATAATCGCTTAACCATCAACTTTCGCATTATTTTTTAACAATATTTATAATCTAAAAAGATGATATTTCTAGTATTTTCTATAAATTTATATCATGCCATGGTGCATTGCACATTCTTGAAAAAGTGAACAGCGGGTACAGTCTCCATCAGCCCATTACGAACAACATTACATTATTCTGCTGCACTTGTTGTTCATGTGCCATGATGCATTGCATATTCTTGAAAACGTGAACATCGGGTACAGTCCCCATCTGCCCATTAAGAACAACATTACAACATTATTCTGCTGCACTTGTTGTTCACGTTGCACATTCCCAACATCATACATGATGATCGATGAGTTCATCACTGATATTTCCATCCATCTTAAGTCCCAACCAATTTGATGGATTATTTTAAAAAACCGTGTATGATGTACAAAAATGTTTTCTCATATGCATATGTCTCGGTCTGACGCAGTGGTTTTCAAACTTTAGTTAATTTTGCATGCCGATCCCATGAGTGCATGTGTTTTGCTTCTGAGAACCCAAGAGGGTCATGACTAATTTAAATTAAAATTTGAGGAATGATAGCAACTTCTCCGTTTATCTTCAGGGTTTTCTTTTTAATTTTGTAATGTTGCACAATGAATTGAGCTGTTTATTTTCTAGATCATCTTTTAAAAATTAATTTGCTAAAAATCATCTAAATTTGAAATCGTTTATTCATATAGTGTTTATCCAATAAATAGGTATACCATGCTAACCAGTTAGACACTAGAATTTGATAACATTGATTGAGTAGTTAAATGATTTCTGACTTGGTTGGTTTTTGGCAGAATAATTGATATTTAAATGGTAAAATCATAAATTAAATGATTTTGATTGTTGTGTAACATTACAAAATGAGAAGAGCTGAAAATATCTCAATAAGAGAATCGATAACATCCCCTAAATTTTTTTGTACATAGCTATAGAGCTTGCTCAACATTTCATGCACTAGCTAGACACCAGCCTTGCTATTACGGGCCATGAACATATCATACTTGAAGAGGCTTGGAATAAATCATAATCGATCATAATAATAGATGTTTAGTTCAAATTGGCAAATTGCCCGTTCTTTAACTATGCAGTGTGGTACTGAATTATATATGGAACTAGGTGTATATGTATAATGTATCGTGATATATGATGGTGATGTTGGTGTAAGTTGGGAGACAAGGAGGCATTAAGGCAGTAGATATTCCTCCTATTCTTCTTTACGGATACAACACATTCCTGCATTGGAAATTGATGCTGGCTCAGCTCTACATTATCATGCTTGAAACAAATGAATACACAAATTATATTTCAGGGTCGGCGGCTTAATGCTGGAAAACAATTCTGAGCATCGATCACATGCTCCTTTGTATGCATAATTAATATATATATATAATAAGAAAACATTTATATATCCGTGGTGACATGATTCTTGTTGTCCCCTTTAGATAGTTTTCAGCATGCACTAATTTTCTGTAATATTAATCATGAGTTCTCTCCCTCACATATATATAATAGTAAATTAATTTACAAATATATTATCTCAATCCCGCAGTCAAGATAAAAGCTACAATTCTTCACACATCAGACCAAAACTTGATAAAACCACATGCTCATTTTGTATAAAATTACACACATGCATTAATATAATTTGTTGTTCTTCATAATTAATGAAGCGCAGTTCATTGTCTCTGCAGTGTGCATAAATTAACCCCATTCTCTGCTTAACACAAATAGTAATTAAAATATACAAATATCTTCCTCCTATAGTTATATAAACCCTGTATTAATTCTATCTTCCTTTATCTAGCTAGTTGATATATGTTTACTCCCGAAACATGTGAGAGTGCTATTATTACTAAACCAATTAATTACACAAAAGATGTGTTTATATATTCATACGTCACGTACATTCAATGAGTATAAGCAGAATATTTCTAATGTTATCCCATGCATAATTTGAAGTCATGGGGAGGTCCACGTCGTCCATTTAAATTTAAGGGTATATAATTTTGCCGTCCCATAAGGCCAGTTATATAGATTGCACGCCACGTGGTTTAATAGTCATGCAGACGATGAAGTGATGTGGTGGCCAACGGCTCAGCTGCATGGTTGATCCTATCAGCTTGGCAACCATGGGATATAATAAGGAAGACAAATGGACAACATGTGAAGGGGCTTATCCTAAGCCAAAAGAGATGGAAAAGACTCATTTTATTCGTTTATGCTAATTCAGTTTGCTGGATAACACTTGATTACTAGATTTTAATAGGAAATTAAGAAATAAACTACACACATGCACGCAAATGATCCATGCCAATCGAACAAAGAGTTGTCCTTAGGCTTAAATCATTAGAAAACATTTGCACTTAACCATAGTATAGTTCATTTATACTAAACATATGCATGCACATCGATATCGTATGTATTCGATAATACTCCTTCGGAGAGACTAGTTAAAAATTTTGTGGGAAAATTAATGTTAGTATTATTGTTAGTTTTATTGGTTTTCTTGTGGGTTAAGGTTATGATTTTTTTTTTCTTTTTGTTTTAAGATTATATTTTTTTTTTACCCTTTAGGGATCAGGGGATGTTTTAGTTTAAATAGTAAACATTGTAACTCGTAGAATAATAAGTTAGTCACAATGTAGTCTTAATGAGTTTTGTAGTCTTCATGGTAATCTTGTAGTGTTTCTTTGTTTTCGATTAATAGAGTATTATTTTTTCTAGTTTTATATCCTGTTTATTTGTAGAGTAATCTAATTTTCAACTTAGTATCTGAACAAGTTCAATCCTTGAAAATTTAATTTGCTTTGGTTGGTATCAGTTTTGTTGTCATGTTTGTTTGTTTTGTCTCGTTTGATCTATGAGTTTAGACTGTTTGATAAGTAGAGTTTCTCTATATTTATAAGTGAAAAATCTAATAATATTTCTTTTTATTTGTAAGTGTAAAACCTCAAATTCGACTAACTTTAGTTAACGAATTTGATGCACCCCATTACATAAGGCTCTAATTATGTTCGTGGTTTTAATTCAGTCCTCTTTTTCTCCATGCCAGAGAGGGGGTGAAAACTTGAATAAAATAAATCCCTAGCCTTTGGGCCCCATTACTGGGCTAACTACGTATTCAACTCCACCAAGGGCCAAAACCCAAATTAACTAGCCATGAGCAAGAGCAGCATCAATTCATGAGTTGCACGTGGACTGACCATGTCCACACAAAAAATTATAAGTGTGACGCATGGATGTCATTTTCTTAATTTTGTTAGGCATACATGTTTAACAATTTTATATTGGTTAGCCGACGTGCTCTCAATAATGTTGCATTTTTCTTTTCATGCTATAGCATAGTGGATTATCTCCCTTGCATTCACATAGGTTTTCTCGATTCAGCAAGAATCAAGAAGTTTTTAATGGGCAGATCAAGTGCATGCCAAAAAGTTTATATTCTATATAGGTGGCATAAACCCATGTCTATAAAATATAGTCCTCAATCATTGAAATTTAGAGGATACATCATGTTAGGTTTTTATTTTGGAAAATACATCATGTTAGGTTGGGGGTGAATATTTGGTGATAATTAATAGGGAACTTTAATGAAAAGCATCCGGTACTATTCACTTTAACGAAAAATCACATTTTTACACTAAAAAATCAATCCTGGTACTATTCACTTTACCCTTTATTTTGTCCTTATCATTAAAACTCAAAGTTTTCAAGCCCTTTTCATTAGTTTTCCTTAATTAATATTCTTAGATCCAATCAGTTTGAGCCAAATTGCATTTTGATCAATATTTGTGAATTTTTGCACATTGATTGTGGCGTTTCGTTGGTTGAATTGTATTTTTCACCGATTGAGAGGAGTATTCGAATTTGGACCTTATTCGGTTAGTTAGGTAGGTATCGCCAGATCAAGAGCTAACTTACGAATGAGTTTATAAGTTTGTATGCTAACCCCTGTGGTGTTAGATTCTAATTTTTGTCCTTTTGGTTAGGGGTGGACATGGTTTGGTTCGGTGCGGTTTTGAGTGAAACTAAAATTGAACTGAAATCGAAATCTTTTGCGGTTTGGTTCGGTACGGTTTTGAAGCCAAAACCGAAATGAAACCAAACCGTGTGGTTTGGTTCGGTACGGTTTCAAATGGTTTCGGTTCGGTTCTTAAGAAAAAAATGTACAGTTTAAAATTTATACTTATCTACGCATAAGACGGTGTCATTTTTCAATTTTCATACAATATATTAATCTATGAACCCATGTCCACAATCAATACATTGAGTAAGGGTATTTTGATAATCTAATTTCATCTAAAATTGGGATACTGTGTGTAGCAAACTAGCAGCAAATGCATAGCTCCTAAAATCAAATAAATTCTTTGACATGAAACAAAACTTTTAACCACGTATCAACCTTATAATGGATGAAACAAACTAAAAATTGGCAGGCACTAGTTTGTGGGGTGTATGTGGGTGTGTGTGTGAGAGAGAGAGAGATAGAGAGAGAGAGAGAGTGCGAGAGAACTGTTGACAGCAAGGCATTCATTTAAATCTTCTCCATTTGGAAGCATTCTCTTAGGTTGCCGTTGCCAAGTGTAGCATCAATATGTTTTCTAAGCTGAGCACCCTTGCTCCCTAAAATCAAATAAGTGCAATTATGAAGCCAAAAACTTGCAGCAAATGCACAGTTCTTACAATCAATGCATTGAGTGATGAATGATGATATTCTAGTGTGGTTGAGTCCATACTAAATATATGAATTCTAACAAACAACCAATTAAAGCATGACATCTAATATGGACATTTCATTAAATGTTTATTAATTTTTGCGGTACGGTTCGGTTTTGGTGTTTTGGTGCGGTTTTCAAAAGCCAAAACCGAAACCAAACCGTTTTCTACATTGCAGTTTGGTTTCAAAATCGAAACCGTTTCAAAACCGCAAAACTGAACCATTCAGTGCGATCCGATTTGGTTCGTGTTTCGGTTTCAGTTTTTGGTTCCAAGTGCCCACCCCTACTTTTGGTTAGGTACCTTCTTTTTTGCCAAAAGGTTAGGTACATTATTAGGGATGACAATTTTAATCGTTAAACTTGATAATCGTGGATAATCGCCCGAATAGATTGGATTTGGATATGAAAATTCAGGTATATTTTGGGTATGGGCAAAAACCGTGAATATTATTTTGTTATGGTTTTGGATATGGTCATAGGGGCCCCCAATTTATATCTGTCCCCAAATTCGAATCGAATAATATATAATATTAAAGTATTAAAATACACATGTGCACACACATATGTATATTCATTATTCGCCAAATCCCTTACTTTGAGTGTAAATACAAAAATTGCATTATGTGAGTTGCCTTTTACGGGAAAGTTCATAAGTCTTGATATGAATCAAAATCTATGAGAATTCAATGGTACTTATGAGAGATATCAAAGATCAGCCAACATCATCAATGTTTAACTTTAATTTTTATGCTCCACAAGATCCATTCATTTTAATGACGAAATTAATATTTACTAAATTATCATGAGTTAATTGAACGAATATATTTTTTGTATTGTCAAAGATGGATATAAACGTTAATCGATGAGGAATCCGTTATCCGGCGGGTATGGTTATGGATAATACACGATGGTTAATTTGCGGTTAGTGATAGATATAACATTTATGTCCCCAAACTGAACTGTTGCCATCCCTAATTATGATTGTACCTAACGTAAGACCTAAATCAAAATGTAATTTCACCAGAGTTAAATAAAGAAAATGTCATTTTATAATGACAATCTAATTTTCTATTAATGAAATTCAATTTTGCTCAATTAACTCACAATACCTACATAATTGATCCCATTAGCTCAAAGCTAATCAATCTTACATAATTCGAGTTCAACAAAAAAGTTTACTTGCACTCAGTAATTAACTTAAGTTTGTAAATGTTAGAATCGAAACCCTACGATATTCGTATAGAACATACTTGGTGCAAATCATATAAAAACACAAAATAAGGTGAGAAGAATATATAATACCATGTATTGAATTCTATATAATTTTGGAATTTCTCTATAACTTTGGAACAATTGTACAAAATGGTTCTTGAACATGGTACAATCCTGTAAAATGTGGATGCCATGACTGATTCTGTAGATATCTTAGAGCTTCAAGGTGTAAGGACATTAAGTAGAGACACTCTATGTTGCAATAGGCATCTGAAGAGTCTTTCCAATCCAGCCTCAAGGCCAGATATGCTGCAATCAAGTGTGTCTAGTCTCCACCGAACCACCTGCACATCAGTCTTGGGATCACTCTTTCTGGTATTACCACGTAGTGAGCAAAGAGCAACATCAACACTTCCCACTTCATTGTAAACCTTTTGGTCTTTTTGTGCGGCTGCGAATTTCGCTGCCATTAGTTTCGGCACCAATGACCATTTGCTACCCTTAGCGCTGGTTTCAGGCATGGATAGAAACATGAAAAGGGATTGAAATGCGGAAATTGTTACATCGCTTAATTCTCTTAACATTTTAAGCACTATTTGTACATTGTAGTCGCAATCCAACAGATGGAATGACCCAAGATTTGTTTCCATTTTCTTCAAATCTCTGAGGCTCTTTGCAATGCTCTTCCTTGCCTTTTTTCGGAAGCAAATGTAGGAATGAACGCTGGTTTCAATGCTTGAAGCTCCGGTCCTCCTGCGCAATGCAGATTGGATGTTCTGAACATGTTCCTTCATTGTCAAGAGTATGTCTCTTGCACTAGCACATGAGTCTAGCAACCCTACTGACCCGTCAAGTGCTTCTTCCACAAGTGCTTTGCACTGCTGGTTGAGAAGTGCTTGTTGGGTCAGTGGAGAGAGAACAAGTTCCTCAATGCAATTGTACAACTCTGCTAGACCAGACAAGCCCACCAGAAGATCCTCACTCACTAGAGAACTTGAAAATTTGGAAGCCTTTAACTTGTTTAAATCTGACTCAATTTTTTGGGATTTAGGGTTTAGCCTAGATGGTAGGCTAATAGACCTCAGAGGCACTATGGATGCAAATGAAACAGCCATTTACTTTTGCAAACAGTCTGTAATATTCTTACACAAACTGGAAATAAACCCTGAACTAATTTGGAAAACCTCAACGCTCAAAATCTCTATATATAACATCAAATTATGAGGATTACATTTATGTCCTTTTTTGGTGCCAACCCAGTACGGTCGGCATGTGATCGCCCTGCAATTTGAAGATCCTGTATCAAATTTGGCCAACAACCCACAAATTCCACATCTTTTTTTACTCAGTTTATGAATTTAGGTCTGATTTCTTTTAGGGTTTTGGACCCTCAATGTGCAAACAGCAATGTACAGGCCGTGTGAACCGTATGCCTCCTTGCCTCCCCCAATCATTTACCTGCCCATTCTCTCTCTATCAAAATTTTATGGACACGGGAAACATAAGTCATATGACGTATCATTTCACGAGTTATAATAAGAGTGAACGACGTGGTTGATATTTCACACTTCTAAATATATTAATATATAAAAATTCACGTGTTATAATTTGAGTAAAACAATAACGTCACATGACCGTGTTTCAAATTCACCGCACAATTGCTCCACAATCAGAACTCAATCATATATAATCATTTGGATCGATTATTTATGGAACATGAAAGGCTGGCAAGTGCTTTGCTGGTCAGTGGAGAGAAGCCGAAGGAAGGTATCAGTAGGTTTAAAAACAAAAGAAAACAACAACATTGAGACAAGATTTAAGCATAAATCTATACGCCTCAAATACAAGAATCTAGCTAGGGTTTGCTGGCTATGGTAGTAATAATAAGGGAACTTTAACGAAAAGCACCCGGTACTGTTCACTTTAACGAAAAACCATATTTTTACACTAAAAAGTCAATCATGGTACTATTCACTTTACCCTTTATTTTGTCCTTATCATTAAAACTCAAAGTTTTCAAACTCTTTTCATTAGTTTTTCTTAATAATAATTGTAATTAGCTAAGTTCATCTAACCAAAATGGCCAGGTTCATCTAATCAATTAATCATTGATTTCCCTATCATTTTGTGTAAATTAATCACTGATTTCTGTATCGTTTTGTGTACCATATAGACCCAATTTTTAATTCAGAGACAATGAAACATTTTGACACTTATTTTAATTCACCTTTTAATTAGGATTATAGATAAACATATTTGGGTTAGGAGGGGCGGCAGGTTGTTGCCAATTAGTGTCACAAAAGAGCCTAAACCTCAGGAGTTAAAAATGCACCTTGTATTGTTTGTATCAAATGCATTTTGCATATTGTTGTTGGAAGAACGCAAACCTAGCAAACCCTAAATCAAAGACAAAGAGTAATGCTACACTCTTTGTTGCATTTTTTAGGCCACTCTTTTCTGCCTTTGCTTATTTGTGTTCACTAAATAGACAACAAGGACACAAATATGAATAGGTCAGTTGGTCAAGGCAATTCGTCCACCCACTTGCAACTAAGTTATAAATCTCCTCCTCTAAGTTAGAGTAAATTAAATAGTTTAGATTTATCACATTAGTTAAAATAAATGAACAACCTATTGGATCGCCGGAGACCATATTTTCCCCATCTCCATCTAGTGTTCCATAGTTATTTCTTGGTTAGATGCAGTGAGTTTGATGGTGGCCACGCTTCATGTAGTTGTAGTTCACATGATTTAGGCTTCTGGATTGTTTCAGGGTTTTGGTGGTCTTGTATTGTGAGTTATTTAGTTGTTTGTGTGGATTTGCCCATTAGAAGTGTCGATTTTATAGTTTTGTTTTTGTTTACTAATTTTCCAGTTTATTTGATGAAATTACTTTTAAAAACATAAACCAACAACTGAATTCTTACCCCGCTAAGTAGGGTCAGCTGCATAAATCCTAAAACGATACTGCACTTGATTTTACACCAAGTCTTCAATTACCTTCAAGTACTCCATGTTCGGGTTTATTTGTGGTTAAAAGTCGAATAGAGAAGTAATATGTACCATCAACTATCCAGGATTAGGGAATTAGAAATATTCGGAATAATGACATCCCACTCAATTGTTAATGCAAATCTGAACAGACAGATATCATTTGGATAACCTTTCTTAAAGGCCTTTTGACTCAATTTGTACAAGCTAGTTTTTCATGCAACCACCCAATCAAGAAGAAAGGCCATTTTTGTACTTGTATGGACAGCAGCAGACAATTACAGCTCCACAGAAGTAGCTCATCGACAACGAATAGCAGATAGTGTCTGATGCAGAATCCGGTGGAGAAGTTTGTCTGCGACCATGGGGACTTTGTTGGAGGATATCTGTCAAGAGGGTAAAATGTTTGTCTGGATGGTGAATACAAAAATGGTGGAATTCAGCGTCCGGAGATTATTATGCCCGTCATTTACTCTGGCTCCACTGGATGCTCAAACTTTCCTGTAAATTGCAACTCTTTGTAGCATGATTAGCATCACAAAATCTAGTATAGATCTTACAGCCAATGACTAGACGTGTGAAAATTCTAGTGGCTTCCTGTCCAGGGCTTTCCAGTTGGGGATTTTGTCTTTGTTGCAGTTCATCAGAAGAGTCGTTTGGCCTGGTGAAGATAGACTCGGGATTGCTAACGTCCTACATGCAGTCTTGTTGCTTCACCAGGGACCATTGTTGACAACTCAAACAACCTCCAACAGTCCTGTAACGAAACTGGTGGCCCAAAATAACAAGAAGTGTTTCAATCTAGTCAGGACATTGTAGGGTGAAGGCCTTACTTGCATGATAATTGGAAAAGAAAAATCACAATTCACATTTCTAACCTTATTTTGAGAACATATCTAGCCTTAGTACACATTGCACAAGTAGCGAAAGACACATAAACATCATGGTTATGTTTTGGACATCAAGTACTAAAAATAAGCATTGATGTTAAAATAGTTCTACACTTTCAATTTCCACCATCAAAGGGAGTTCAAAGTCGGGATTGCAGTCAAACCAAGATGACAAACTCTGATTTCCAATTTAACAACCTAATTCAATTTGAAAATGATCTAAACCTAGGAAACTAGAAAGCATACAAATCAAAATAACTTTGGCATACCACATAGGAAAAAAAAATTCTGCATTTTCAAGTGTTGCCAAAATGGAAAACGAATACTCACAATTCACTACAGCACTTTTAAATCTGTGTAATATCTCTTTTCAAATCAACATTAAACAAACATAGATGTCACTGAAAACAATCAAGCTGAAACAACAGCAAAATCCAAGCTTTGTATATGTCATAGAGCACTTCTGCCAATACGGGAATTGATAACATTACACCAGCACCTTCAGTTACAAAGATAAATGAAATCACAGGACATTCAAAAACTATTAGAATTCGCCAAGCAAACATAGTTGTACAAATTAGAGGAAATACCAGTTAGACAGCAAGACCTTGCTCCCTTGCTTTCTTAAGCCACTTCAGTGTACCCTCCAAAGTCGTGTAAGCAGCAACATCAGTTACACTCTTACTCTCAACTGCATAATCAAACACTTCGTAAGCATCTGCAACCCTACCCTCCCTACAAAGTGCCCTCACAAGTGTAGCATAAGAAGCTGTATCAAGCTTCATCCCACATTCTTTCATCAGCCCATACAATTCTAACCCTTTCTCTAAAAGTTTTGACTTGCATAATCCATGAAGCAACGTATTATACGTGCAAACATTTGGTTGGCACCCCTGTGCTTGCATCTCCTCCAACAACTCCATTGCACCCAAGACATCCCCCTTCCGACACATTCCATTCATCAATGAAGTGTATGTCACCGCATCCGGGAAATGTCCCATTTCCACCATGACACCCAGATACTTCTTAGCCTCCATAATCCTTCCACATTTCGATAACCCAAAAATCAAAGTATTATACGTTACAAGATCAGGCTCCACGCCCTCCTCCTTCATTTTCTTGAAAACATCAACTGCCTCTTTGCCCAAATTCAATTTACAAAAACCTTTCATAATTGTATTGTAAATATAGCAATCAGGCTTAAATCCCTCCTCAGCTAACATTTCCACTAACTTAGTCGCCTCGCGTAAATTCTCTCTATTCGTCACATTGTCAATCAAAATAGTATAAGTGACAAGATCAGGCTTTAAATTCAAAGAACTTTTCATACTTTCAATAAACTCATAAACACTACTCACAGATCTCGACTTGCAGAGACACTTCACCAGAAAATTGTATGTATAACTGTCCGGGGCTGCGTTTTTCATCGCCATTTCTTTAACCAATTCAACAGCGAGGTCAACATTACCGGCAGAACAGAGTGACCGGACAGCGATATCTGTGGTGACCTTATCGGGACTGAAGCCATTGGTGAGCATAAAGTTGAGTACCTGGTGTACGGACCCCAGTGTCTCATCCCCTGCTTTGCAGGACTGGGAGAGCAAAACATGGTAGGTCGATTTGTCGGGGGAGAACGCAGGGTGTGTTTTGATCATGTGGTTGAAGAGAGATATGGAGTCGTTGACGGTGGAGATTGCGGCGTAGGATTGGAGCAGGGCGTTGTGGACGCGGAGGTCGAGTGGGGATTTCGTGGCGGCGACGATGGAGGTGAAGACACTCTTGGCGTCGGAGATGTTTGGGGAGGTGAAGGGGTTGCGGAAGGAGGTGGGTTCCTGGGTTTTCTCGGAAAGTTGGGGTGGGATTTTCCTGGTGGGTTTCTTGGGAAAGTTATGGGGCTTGCGAGATGGGGATTCGTTTGGGATTAAAGATTGTGGCTTTTTGATGATGGAGGTTGAAACTGATGAGCGCAGAGATGGTGGGATTTTCCCCATTTAGGGTTTAGATTTCTTCGTCGAGGATAGGTCTGTGAGGTTGAACAGGTTAGGGTTTTGCAGGGGTTTGAGATTTGGGGATTTTGTGTTGGGGTGGGGGCTCTAAAGACTTGTATTTTGGACGACACGTCGTAAACTGCAATGAATATCGATAGATATGATATTAGTGGCTTTCGATGAAAATGATGGATATTTGCTAAAAAATGTAGACATTTAAAATGAAACTTTATAGAATGACATATGGGAGTTTGTTAATTTTTAATTGAGATGTCAAAAATATTGACAAAATATATTGATTTTAGCTGAAATTAAAAAGTTCCTCCGACATCTTGTGAAGTTTAGACTTCACCCCTACTTTCATAATTTCTCTAATTTTTCCAATATTTCCAAAAAAAAAAATCGATCGGAAAAAATTTCACGCACTATTTCAGACTACAGTTATCATATTTTCCGACTCGACCTGCCTTATATAAAATTTGCTATAAGCATTTTCATTAAGGAAGAATGGGCGTGCAAATATGACATGTAGGTAAATCTAGTAGCATTCTTCACAAAATGTCAAAATTAGTAAATAAATATGGGTAAAAAGACATCAACAAACCAAGATTATGCATAACTCATAACCTTAAGGGGACGTTTGTTTGCCCTCACTAAGTAGGATTGGACTGGACTGGACTAAACTCAGAGCAATACTGTGTTTGTTACGCAGCAGGACAACCTTTAGTGGGACTAGCCAGGACTCGCCTCGACAAAGGACTTCACTCCATCTGCTTCTCTTCGTCCGCTTCTCTCCCTTGCTCTGCTTCATCTGCTTCTCTCTCCCTTGCCCATCTATCTGCTTCTCTCTTTCCCAGATCTGAAACACAGCCCACCCACTGCCTAAATCTCAACACCAAAATTAAAACAAAAATTCAAAACAAAAACAACAATCCCCATATAAAAATTCTTCCTTATTCCCAATAATTCCTAGAAAATTCCAAAAAAAAATTATTTTCCAGAAAATTCCTGAGAAATGGATAGAGAAAGGGAGAGAGTAGCTTTGGTACAAAGAAAAATGGAGAGGCAGAGGAGAGAGTAACTTTAGGGACGATTTTGTAGGAAAAATCGCTTTGAAGGATATTGTTTTGCAGGAAAAAATGAGTGTTGGGGAACGGCACTTACGAGGAAGAAAAGAATGAACTCCCAGGGAGAGGAGACTGTTCCAGACACAAACACAAAGAAAAAGTTTGAATAAAAAATAAAATATTATTGAGTTAATAATAAAATGTGTATTTAATGATATAAAATTATAGTTGGTAACTATTCTTTTTTTTAGTCCTGCATTATACCTAACGCTAATCAGTCCAGCTTAGTCTAGTATAAGCTAATCCAGCTTAGTTCCTAAAGCTAGTCCAGTCCGAGTTAGTCCGGTGCAACAAACGCACCCTAATAGATTACATGATCAGTAATTACAAACTTGCAAACTACGAATTATACAATGTTGCAGACTAAAAAGAGCTTCAAGTATGCTGCAAAAACAGGTAAATGAAGGGGCTTATATGATAACCACCTCGGCTCCTGGTGGTAGTTGTGTTCCAATTAGCTGCAAAGCATGCTCCCTTGTTGCTTCTAATTTCTCCTCCGGTGTAGCAAATTTGGGCCGTATATTGGGCCATATACCTAATTTGACCTTTTCAAGTTCTATGATAAACTTTTCCAGTACTACAGCATTTTCCAACAGGTACATATGGCAAACTCCGTATCGATAGTTGACCCGCCCATCCCAATGAACCCAGAAAATCTCACCTCCTTAAGGCATTGATGAGGACATCTTTTAATCTCCTGCATGTTTCTCGTATAACCATCGCAAACAAGTCCCCATTGTATCTGCAAGAGGGGCATACCACAATCATATTAATCTTCTGACGACAAGTTACTTAAACATGCAAAATTTTGAGAAAAAATGGCGTGCAGTTTAGTTGGTTAAGAGCATCCACCCTCATACCCAAGGTCTCGAGTTTGATTTCTCCTCCCCAGTATCGCTTGTATCAAAAGTTCAAAACATGCAGAAGTTTAATTCAGTAAAGAAAAAAATTGAACACCTTCACTTACTACATTCTCAAATCCTGAAAACTCGTAAACTATACTGATGAAACGAACTTTCCCTTTCTATATGAACAACGGAATTATCAGTAATACAAGGTTGATGATCACATTAATCTATTTGAAAAGTAGAGGATCAAAATATGACTTGTACAAATGTGATAGACGCTTTGCGATGACATAAACCACTCTAATAGATGTATTGATTTTTACCTTCAATGTTAATCTCTGCAAGAAAGGAGATTGCTCTAACAAGGAAGTCAAATCCAGGAGACTTTGCCCATTATTTTGGGCATGTATAATCAACGACAAGTCTTTGAGACTAGTTAAGTCTGGAAATTGTGGGAGCATAATATTTGTCTGAAAGACAGGAACACAAGAAACTTGAAAATGATCAGCCAACAAGTACAAGAAGCTAGGAAAATTTTAAAGTAAATAACAGGTTGAGAGTCTAACCCTTCTCAGATTCATCCACAGGTCGAGAGTCTGTAGGCATGAAAGTCGATCTGATATCGACAGAAGATGTTTGGTAATACTATCAGGTTCGTCTTCTGAGAGAGATACGTTGACGAGCTTGGGTGCATGTTTCAAAAGAATTCCTCTTCTATACACATTTGGTTTGGGATATATAAATGACACAAGATTAGGGGCAGAAATATCAACTCTGACTATGCCACCGCAATAACTTATTTGTAGGAACTTCAACCGGAGTGATGAACCAACTGCTTTCACAGCATAAAGATCGCTTGAGCCAAAAATACTGAGGTGTTCAAGAAGTTGACATTCGGATACAACCAGCCCAACAACTTCATCAGTTATAGGCATGCACATCAAAGAGAGGTGTCTAAGGGACTTAATGCGTGAAACACCAAAAGGGTTGTTGAAAGGCTTCTCCCAAGACTTGGCCTTTTTTTCTATCGATTGGTATATCTCAAGCCATTGAACTTTCTTTTGAATTGCAAATTTGATAAAATCATCGACATTATCCGAGCTATAGCAAGATCCACAAATTCTGACTCCATCTATGGTTGGACCCTGATGCGATCGCAGGACTTCGGTCACCACCGTACACGGTGGTGGTGATGGTGGGTCAATTTGTCTTGGAATCCCATCGGGGTGCCTAGATCTTGAACCGGAACCTGCTGAGGAAGAACCACCTCTGAATTCACCTAAGTTTAAAGGTGTTAAACCCTGGTGCGATTGCCGGATTCGTTGTCTTCTGTTGGTCGCTTCTTCTAGACGACGTCTCTCTGACGGATTAACTGTTGTGGTCCTTATGGAGGTACGTAGATGTTCACCATCATGATGAGCAAAGTTGAGACGTGTAACATGTGTCCACAAATATCTCCACCTCTTAGAGAGGACACTAGTCCTTGCTACTTCCTTAATCCTCAAAGGGGAAATGATGTTAATCAGAATCGCGTCCGGCAGTTGACCAATCCGATCCTCCAAATGATTACTTGTTTCTCCCTTATCACCCAAATTCATTGGAGAGTTTTATCTTGTTTTTTATCATATGTTGATGCAGTTGGAATTTCCATCGAACCTTCTTCGATTTGCTAACTATTGAACTAAATACTGGAACAATTTAGTCAGATAAGCTGCAGATTCTGAGGCAAATTAGCAAAATCTACAAAGAACCAGTCAGTCAGTAAGTATGCTGATAAGTGAATTTTATATTATATATTTAACCCTATTTTTAGTATATTTTGGTTAATATTTTGGAAGAATTTTGATACTTTGAATTGTATTTTCAATATAGGACTTTCGACTTCCTCTGGAGAAAAACGTGGTCAAATGGACGAATTTTGGAGTAATTCTAGTTGGAAGACGTTCGTGAGTCACTTAGCTTGGTCGTATCAAAATTTGGGATTTTTCCATCAAGCGATTATTTTTTGGCGATAAAATAAAGGAGTGATGCGCGGTGCTGGAAAATGACATTTGTGGGATTAAATTGCGTTTTTGGAGCCTAAGATAACCTCGGATGGTTTCGTGGCCTTCTGGAGATGTGTTTGGAACGTCCTTATCTTTAAAACAACCTATCTTGGGCCGGATTTGGAGGAGATCTGAGACTAAAACGTGGCTGGACAAGTACTTGGCAGATATTAGGGTTTTATTTTCTAAGATATTTTTATTATTTTTTCTTAGTTTCCTAGTTGGAATAAGAAACCAAGGTCTTAGGGTTTGTAAGGGCTGAGCAAATATATTGCTTTGGCCGTCTACAGTTTTTGAGGACGCTTATTATTATTCAATTTCAGAGACAAAGAACTTGGCTATGGTTCTTGGAGATTTTCTACTTTAAGATGCTTTCATTCCTTTTATTTTTAATAATATTTTCTATGATTTCAATTATGAATATGCATAACTAATTCTTTTTGCTAGGGCGAAACCATGCATACTTTGAATTATTGATTGCCGTTTTAAACTATCTTATTATCTTGATGATTGGCCACCATTAGGATGTTTAGACAAGTAATTGGATGCAATTCGGTCGGAATATCACCGGAGGATTGAGTATTGCTTCTTGTGATTGATAATTTTAATTTCATCTAAGGTGAATATCACGTTCTTAGGGGTTGCATGGTTCTTCAAAAGGTTTTCATAAAACTTAATGAGTCTTGCATGTTCATATTTGATCTGAATATCACAGACGGATTGCATGTTAGATATACGTTCTTGCTTGAACATCACGAGGAGAATATATATTAGGAAAACCTAACCTTCGAAGTGGCATGTGTAAATCGTAAGTAATTGGTAGCAATTCATAGGATTGTTAGGTGATGGTGGAACCTTAGTGCCTTTATAAATTGGTATTTAAAACTCTTTTCTTCGATTATTTTAGTCTTTGTTTAAAATTCGTTTTTTAATATTATCCACTCTCAAACTCTCTTTTCTCAAGTTTTAATTCTAAGTATTTAATTAGGAATTGTTTCTACATAAATTATCCAAATAGTCATCGAGGAAAACGACCTTGCATGAGCATCTATACTACAATATCCTTGTATTCT